TATTCCTAGACCACATAGTGAAATTTTTAAAAATTGTTTTTTAGCTATAAGGGTCCAAATTTATATACTGTAATTCTATTCCGAATTCGTTTATGTACGACTTTTGCTATTTTTAAACTTAAATTGAAACAATATACAGTATCTGTCTCTTATACACATCTAGATGTGTATAAGAGACAGGTACTATACATCATCATACGATTAATAAAAAACGCCAGTCATAGTATCATACCAAAGAATATAAAACTGCAGTTCTATACTTATTGATTACTCTTTTGATTATACGTAATTTCATAATATAAAAATGAAGAAAAAAAGAATTTACGTTTTTAATATAAAGTGTTTTATTTACTTTTCCATTTCAACACAATGTGTAAGAAACATGCACTGTATAAGAAATTGCTAATCGGTAAATCATATAAAAGCATCTTTTTTCAATCTACTGTATGCCATCTCGTTCGAATTTATATACATGGAAAAAGAAAATGCGAGACACTGACAATGGAAAATATACACAGGTAAAACATGTGTTCTTTTTTTTTCACAGTTCTAAGTAACTAGTTCGACGTTTGTGCGGTGTTTGCTTTGTGTCGAATGTGTAGAGCGAAACGAACCAAGATAACGTGTGGTCAAACCTTGTTGTCGTTGGGCAGAAAATTTACCCTGATTACTGTCCTTCGTAAAGGACGTTAGCCGTTGGTTTCTTATGTATAATTCACTGCAGTACGCTATTAGAAATAAGAAACTTGCCTACAAGGACTATATGTGTTTAAATTGCATTGTTTACTAAACATTTAGTAAATTCAGTTTCAAAACTTTACAGATTTCTTCAGTACAGGTCAAATTCTGTCTCTTATACACATCTAGATGTGTATAAGAGACAGGGCCTATTATCAGGCATTCCTACTCCAATACAGTATTGGAAACTTCAAAACATGTTTTAGATGGTATTTACTGTTGCATTAGCTCAAGACTACACACAGCTTATTTTTTTTTTATATTTTGTGTATGGATTTGCAAGTCCGATAGATTGATTGACAGATTGATTTATTGATTGATTGATTGTGATTGCTTCATTGATTTATTGAGTTCGTCTCTAAATAGATGCGGAGGTGAGAAATAACACGCAATATCTTCTCAATCCTTGTACATTACCAAAAGCCGACCGCACTTTAAAGGACCCTGGAAATAGACGGTTGATTTATCATAGAGAAAATTATGATATTATCAAGCTGTGCACTTTACCGTAGATCAGTGGTAGAGCAATCAAGTTGTTGAAAATAAAAAGCCTGTCTCTTATACACATCTAGATGTGTATAAGAGACAGTACACACACATTCAAAATGAAGCGCTAACACATTTCTCATAATCTTTTATCAGGGATTTTCGGCAACCAGACATCTAATTATTATTTGTGATGTACCATAGAAAATAAAAACTACAGGACCGTCTTTGATGTATTTAATTTACTTTACCTGTACTTCAATCTCAGCCCCACGATGGTTCGGGGGCTGAGGCCAGAAAATTTGAGGAAATAGTACCTCTAGATGGCTGGAAGAGACACGCTTATATAGTCCAATTCATCATCACATCACATCACCATTAAACAGTCAAAAATGAATCGCTAACAAATTATAATATATGAATCAATGTTTATATCATATAATACAAATCAATGTTTGCCCTGTGTTAGAGTAACCGAATGCTCAGAACGTTCTCCAATGCTTGCGAAAAAATAGGAATAGCACTGCTGCAGTTGCTACTTGAAAATCGGATTCATCACTGCTACCACGCCCAAGTTTGGTGGTCAATTGGGTAAGACACCGGCTAATACGATTCCTACACTATTTTTTTTTCGCAAGCATTTGGGAACGTACCGAGCATTCAGATAACACTTCAGGAGGGCAAACACCGATTAGTAGTAATAGTATTCTCGTTTGATAATACTGATTTCATAAATAAACGATTGTACAGTTTCAGTGTTCTCCATTCTGATTTCAAGCACAGGCCCTATCTGGAAATATGCAAACGCATTGAGAAGGTAAATCAAGATCAATTTTGTGAATTTATAAGAAAATCGGAGTACGACTTCATGTCAATGATGTATGCATCAGAAAAGACTCGATAGGCCTATTATCAGGCATTGCTACTCCAATACAGTATTGGAAACTTCAAACATGTTTTAGATGGTATTTACTGTTGCATTAGCTCAAGACTGCACACAGCTTATTTTTTTTAATATATTTTGTGTATGGATTTGCAAGTCCGATAGATTGATTTATTGATTGATTGATTGTGATTGATTTATTGAGTTCGTCTCTAAATAGATGCGGAGGTGAGAAATAACACGCAATATCTTCTCAATCCTCGTTACGTATATTACCAAAAGCCGACCGCATTTTAAAGGACCCTGGAAATACGGTTTATTTATCATAGAGAAGATTATGATATTATCAAGCTGTGCACTTTACAGTAGGTCAGTAGTATAGAGCAATCAAGTTGTTGAAAATGAAAAGCAGCTCATAAATAACCTATAAAATATAATTAGATCAACTGACGTTTTCGGTCCCGTCTTCAATCAGGAAAATAAAATTCGGAATGAAGGGGTGCCATCTGTTTTTTCGGCTGTTTACGTTCTGGTCGCTTCTTGATTTTCTATAACAGCATAGGCCTAGAGGTGTTTGCTTGAGAATGTGGTACAGAAAAATAATGCTGTAGTTCTTAATGTTTTTCAACATTTCCGTATGACAAAACTGACAACCTTAATAACCCAGACGAATGGAATACACTAATGGCTGTGGCAAAACGAACGGGCATGTTCCTTCCGTCACTTCCATCTCCATTTACCCCCTGAACCACTGCCTTAATTTTCCTACATTAATGATGTAGACATGTCTCATAAACCTAAAAAATAAATAATTAAATTCCAATTTGATTGTTTAAATTAACGACGGACAGTTAATATAATGCATTTCTTCATGCACAGACCTGGCTGAGGAATTTTGTAATAGCATAAAATAAAATGTTTATCTAAATCATTTGATCTGTTTCCGGTTGGATGTTAATAAACTCATCATCTTCTTTCTTATTTACACTATTTATCTGTTGAGTACTATACATCATCATACGATTAATAAAAAACGCCAGTCATAGTATCATACCAAAGAGTATAAAACTGCAGTTCTATACTTATTGATTACTCTTTTGATTATACGTAATTTCATAATATAAAAATAAGAAAAAAAGAATTTACGTTTTCAATATAAAGTGTTTTATTTACTTTTCCATTTCAACACAGTGTGTAAAAAACATGTACTGTATATAAGAAATTGCCAATCGGTAAATCATATAAAAGCATCATTTTTCAATCTACTGTATGCCATCTCGTACGAATTTATATACATGGAAAAGAAAATGCGAGACACTGACAATGGAAAATATACACAGGTAAAACACGTGTTCTATTTTTTACAGTTCTAAGTAACTAGCTCGACGTTTGTGCGGTGTTTACTTTGTGTCGAAACCCGTGTAGAGCGAAACGAACCAAGATAACGTGTGGTCAAACCTTCTTGTCGTTGGGCAGAAAATTTACCCTGATTATTGTCCTTCGTAAAGGACGTTAGTCGTTGGTCTCTTATGTATAATTCACTGCAGTACGCTATTAGAAATAAGAAACTTGCCTAGAAGGCCTATTGCTAACTAAAGTGATACTTTACATTTACAATGACTAAAAATAGACCTCAGCAGTAACAATAACTTTAATGGTGTAATAGATATGTAGCCAAATACACATTATTTCGGAACGTACTCGTATAGTGGTAAAAAAAGAATCTAAAATTTAAAAAAACTAAATATATAGCCTTTGAAATGTATACTACGCATGCAAAAATAATACTGAATAGACCTATGTTCCTATATTCGTTTGCATAAACCCTTGGCTGAAAAGATTTATATACAGTATGATGGCATGTCGAAATGCACGCCATTGTGTCGGGATTCAATATTTCGACATTAATTATGTCATCATCAACAATGAAAAATTATCCATATTTGCTTATATGCACAGGTACTAATCTTAACATTACCTCTAGTTGTGAGATAGTTATGAATAAACTAAAGATTGATCTTTAGTTTATTCATAGCTACAATCATTTTGTTTTATTTTATCTTACCTCTAATAAATATTTAACCATGCTAGTAAATGGAAAAAAGGATTTAAATTTTACATTGATTGATGGATTGATTGTTAATCCTTCAAATAACAAGATTATTTTGTGTAGTTTGAACTATATTTCTCCCTATAACAATCTAGCCTATGTATGACATGATTTTTTTAATACCATAAAGATCATGACAGTTGCACAAAGCATTCAATACCAGCTTGGCAGTCTCGCTTTTAGAGCTTCCATTAATACTGCACCAAACTACATATGTCGCATGATGAGCAGGATCCAGTCAAGCAATCGTCCTACAACACGTGCAATAATTACTAACTGCGATTATTTTATTCCTAGACCACATTGTGAAATTTTTAAAAATTGTTTTAGCTATAAGGGTCCAAATTTATATACTGTAATTCTATTCCGAATTCTATTCGTTTATGTACGACTTTTGCTATTTTTAAACTTGAAACAATATATAGTATTTTGTAATTGTTCTTGTTAATCTTTTTATAAGGTTTTTAATTAATGTATTTTCACATTTTTAAAAATGATCTTTTATATCTGAATTTTATAAATTTGTGTAATTAAGTGATTCTTGTTTTTTTATTCTTGTATTGTATGAAGGCCCCTAACTTAGGATCAGTATTTCTGGATGGGACACCCTCTTGAAATATGGTATTAAATAAATAAATAAAAAAGGATTACAGGTGGGATCTGACGTAGTCCGATGTCCCCAACGACAGTGTAAAGGGGCGTCATTAAGAAAATGGTCTTGGGAATGGTGTATGACATTTAGGGATTTTAAAGGCTTATCTAACGATTACGTGTAAAAATTTTTTTTTCCCCTCAGGCAAATTTGTTCGCCCCTCCCCCTCCCCCCACACAACTGGCGCCACTCCTGTGTGGTTTTTTTTCAAAATTTACGTTGTTCATAGAATGAAGAGTCAAAACTACAGCAGTCCGGTTTGTGAATCATTCTAGGGTCACATCGTCGTGCAAACCGAACGTCTCTCTATTATTACATCTTCGCTACATCTTGAAAAACAATCCCAAAATCACAGCGAACAGCATGACACCGACTACTAGGCCTACTTGAGCCAAAGTGTGAAGAAAGGTTCTATAAGGCACTTTAGAAACACGCATTTTTGTTGCCATCGCCGTTTTTCGAGGAGCATCTAGTAGTGCATCCATCGCGCCGTCCCAAGAGTGTGGCCCTTGAATACGGAATATGTACGGATACAACGTGCCAAAAGCAAGCTTCATCGCAATTGGAAATCTGGTATGTAGGCTGTCTCTTATACACATCTAGATGTGTATAAGAGACAGTATCATATGTATACATATATATATATATATTTATTTAGTCTTCAGTTCAACACATTACAGATACGCAACAATAAAAAAAAAACAGAAAAGAAACAATGCTAGCCAACAACAGACGGGATTGCTCAAAAGAGGGACCTTAAGGCTACGGTCTGGGAGCTCTATAAAGTGTCGCTGGCAACAAAATAATATTATAAGAAACAGATAGGTAAAATAAACATATAATAATCAACTCACATATGAATGAATGCTGCCGTGATCCCTTATGTTAATTTCTGATACTTCTTTGATGTCTTTTCTCATCGCATTTTTCGATGGTAATTTCAATTTCCCGCTGAAAATGCGCACAACGTAACGAGACTGCATCTCATATGCATTAGCCTGAGTCCCAAGACCTTTGAAGAGACCGATAGCAGCGAGTGTAGGTACATCTGGGTTGAAGATGTACTTGTACAATTGAAGTTCCTCCATAGAATCTGTGGGAGTAAGAAATCATATGATGAAAGTGGTCAGATAGCAAGAATAAAAATATCATGTAGTCGATTGCTTAGTAGGCCTATTAAGGTTATGTATGTTTATACATATATTCAGTTGAAAACTTGCCTCTAATTTCTTTACTTTCTATGAACGGAAAACTTTTAAGATATCCTGTCGCTGTAACCAGCACATCAACGTTGTCCACGTGTGAACCATCCGTGAACACAACACCGGTTTTTGTCAGCCTTTCTATTCCTGGTTTCACCTTAATGATGATACAGTAGCAATAATTATAACTACAGTATAATGATGATGATAATTATAATAACAATAGTTATGATAATACTAATAACAAAAAAAATGGTGACACCACCAAAAAAATAATGATTTTGGACTTGGAGGTGGCGGCAATTATGACAACGATGATTATTGTAAGATAACTTGTTTGTGAAGATATAATAATAATAATTATATTATGATTAAAAACTCATTCGATCATGAATTTTGTTTTGACTGACCAAGGAAGAAGCAATCTATATATATATAGGGGCGTATGCTGATTTATGTCTGGGTGTGTGAAACGGCGGGGGGGGGGGGAGATTGGGGGTGCGAAAATTGACAATGCGGAACTAAATCCCTATCCCAAGTTAAGTTGAATTAATTTGCCGTCATGGGGGTTGAGTTGTACGCCTCATGGTGTTCCCCTCACGCATAGGCCTATACATTACCTTCAGTTTGCCACAATATATTTGACCATCTATAGAATCATTTATCATAATAGTCGCTCCTGCGTATAGGCGAATGTCACTCTCCAAACCAAGAGCTTCGTGGTTCACGACACGCCTTAGGACCCTCTCTATATACAGTTCTTGAAAGCACTCTGGCATGTAGTTGAACCATTGGCTAAGAATGTGCTTATCCCAGGGTTCTTTGCCTCCGAATCCTCTTTTCAACACCCAGCATCCTCTGCGAGTACTCATATATGTCTGAAATAATATCGTTTTAAAGCTTCAGTTTAAAAATGGATATTAAAGTTTCAAGTAATTTTCCCATTTTATGTCTATACTGTGGATGCCTATTTAAATATATTTTACAGGATGTACAGAATTGGCCCCCAAAGAATAAGTATTTTATTGTTTGAGATTTGACGCATTTAAAAGAAATAGTGGATGTAAATAATTAAACAAATATCAGTTCACCATTTTCGCAAAACGACTACAATCAACAGAAACATCTCCTCCAGAGAATGCAGCCCCTAAAGAAAAGAAAAACATTATTTTTCAGATCTATTCTCGGTTGGAGTAAACATCTAAACGATTCACGAATTTGAGATTTTATAAGCACATAGTAGGACGTGTGCTAGGCCTAAATAATGTCAATTTAAGTGTGTCCCCCACAAGGAATCAAATAACGTTATCTTAGTTCCATAAAATCGCTACACTGTTGCTACAGTTTCTTTTACTGCAATCGTTGCAATTCGTAGCTGTTCTCGACACAATCGGGGACGCTCCTTTATTCAACTGAACAATCAGGGTCGCCAAAGGAGTTGGCAATAGTGTGTAGCGATTTTTTATGAAAACCAAGCTTTAATCTACTTACCAGGCACTGGAATAATGTTGCTCTATTAAGCCTACATATTTAACATTATTATATTTGATATGATTGATGTTTCAAAGAACGAGAGCCAAAACAGTAAAAAGTGACAATTTTTTATTATCGGGATAGTTATTATTATCTTACCAAGAACTACAACGGTTTTTCCAGCATAGTCCGAGCCTCTTCTGAAGTACTGTGAATGGAAAAGCTCTCCAGTAAACTC